AAAAAAAAGACAACGCTTTAATTGATATAAACATCTCTAAATTTATACAATTAATAGAAAAAACTTTGTCATAGTTATTATTATGAATATAATATTATGTAGCACTAAATACTTGTCATTTACAAATACTCTATTTGATAACGTTGTATTAAACAAAAAGCAGCTTGCTAAAAGAAACAATTGATTTTTGATTTTTTTTTTTTTTTTTTTTAACGAATTAAATCATAATCTAAAATCAGTCTTATGAAAATAGTACCAAAAACGTATAGTTTTATAAAATATTTGTATTCGAATTTATTTCTAAATTAGTAATCTTCCGTGCATTTTCAATTTTAGTTTAGTATGTAAACGTGTTTAAATTTAAACATATCATAAAAATTAAAATAAGCAGACTCGAATAATGTATCGAGATTCATCACTATATATTTAACATACATGGCCCAGGGGTATACTTTCAACCTTTTCTTTGAAACTTTTATAACACATTTTTTTTGGCCAAACATCATATATATATATTAATGTTTGTTTTTTAAATCACACTCAAATGTTTTAGTATTGTAAAATGAAAGTAAACTTAATTTTTTTTTTAACTATTTAATCTAAATATTTAGAAATATATTAGGTAGGTATGGGTACCAATAAATATGCAATCGCGTAATAACAATACTACATAATTTTAACTTCTTTAGTTCTAATAATTATCCTCAACATTATATTTTAAAATAGGCACTTCATAAAAGTATATAAGTATTTACTATTTTTTAAAATAACAACATTTTATAAAAACGTTCTTTAAATTTGTTTAACATCAAATATAATAATGATGTTTACCTGGTAACACGAAAATAATTTGTATCTATTAATTCACTTATAACAATTTATTTATCTTATGTTTTTATTCTGTACAATTATTTCGACAGTATGTATACCTAATTAATATATATATGTATATCTGCGCATTTAATATTATTTTAATACGAATTGATTGTTTTATAGAACGAAAATATTTTAAAAATGTTTCTTGACTCTTAATCATACATCCAATAGTATGAAATAAAAAAAATTTAATTACGATGATTTTTTCATATTTCAGAATGATTGATCAACATTTTATGATTCCAAAAAATAATGTCTTCTGGCTATGTTGTTTCAAAAGTTTTTTTATAAAAGTTTAATTTTTTTTTTTTTATCATTTTTTTCGGTCATGCCTCTATATCAACTATGTAGTATCTTCTGTATTCAGAAAAATACATTGCTTGCAAAATGTTCATTATATAAATAAATAGTCTTAGAAAACTTAAAGAGCTATTAATAAATAACAATTATATAGATATAATAAAGTGAGATTCTTCAATTTCCATACAAATAACTATTATTTATACAGAATAATCACTGAGCAGTGGTCTGTAGAACAAATAATTTATTTATATATGCATTATATACATACTTCAAGTTATATTTTATTCAATAAAACTTTTAAATAAATTTTATTTTTTAAGAACTATTTATAATTTGATATTAAAAGTGAAAAATATGATAATTATAGTAGGTATGATAATGTAAAAATATATATAATTATACAAAGAATTTGTCAACGCTGAAGAAAATATATTTTACTTTCAAATTACGTGCATGATATTAACGCAAATATTTAATTTTAGTGCACAAATAAAGATCATCGTATTAAACAAATAAAATGTGATTAAAAAATAGATTTAAAAATATTTAAATATAATTTGCAATTGTTTAAAATTAAATTAATAAAGATAAAACAACAAAGGAATATGAAGAACAATTTTAAAAATAAAAACAAAATCTATTACGAAAATTTCAAGTAATGGACAACAAAAAAAAAATTAAAAAAATAGTAGCTTGATAGGCTATAGTTTATTTTAATGCATTATATTAAAGTAATAATATTTGTTTGTTCTATTTTTTATGAGTGAAATTATAATAACTTATAGTTTATATAAATGTAAAACTTAAGAAAAAAATATTAATATATTTTGTTAAATTTTAAATTTTATAAAGTTTAATGCACAACTAATATTATTTAACATTCCTTTGAACTATTTAATTTAATTACATTAATTGATTATAACAAAGGGTAATATAAATTGTAACATATAAAGCAGTATAACGTAAATTATCTAATTTATTATTGATTACATGACTAGTTGAATTTTCAATGAAATTGAAAATAAAAATGATCAAATCAAAAGTTGAAACTGTTGAATCGAATCATAAAATTAGGAAAAATAAATTAACAAAAATTAGATTAATTTAAATATTTATGAGGAAGATTAAAAAACATTTTACGAACAAATAAAATAAAGTATAAATAGTATAGCTACAGAAACAGAAAATCAATTTTCTGAGAAAAAATATTAACAGTTTACATTACGTATACTATCATTTTTATTAAACTTAAAGAGGACACTCTCATTTATTCAAAAAAAAAATTTTAGCAAATTTTTGTTCAGTGGAACCATGAGATTTTTATTTTTAAACGAGTTGTAGCAAATTTTAAGTAATAATATCTAACACATTCATATCTCGCTTAAAAAATATTAATATTGTAATAACCAATGTATCATTGTAGAAACAAAGCTTATTATCTTCACATTTAAATTTGGAATGTTTAATAATATATTAGTGATAAATCCAATATTACATTTAATAACACAAAATTGATTCTAGTGAACGTAAATTTACAATGTCACAAACATTTTAAGACAAATACTATATATATATATATATATAAGTATAGGCTCCTACTACAAAAAAAAATATTTACTTATTATTTTAAATTTACAATACAATATAAAACATATTGTTATTGTTAATTTTTTTTTTTTTAGCTAAATAGTATTGACTAAAAATCTATATATATAATCGAAGATACTTAAATACAATTACTGTTATAAATAAATGCATTTAATCATAATATTAAAGGATTTAATTATTTTAGTTTTGTAAAATTGTATTTTATTGTGTTTTATTAAATAAAAGAATTATAAATGTAAAATATAAATATATAGATACAAGGTATCAAAAAATTTGGAAACGTTTAGTATTCTACTACATGTTTATGTAACAAACTTTCTTGATATACTTTAGATAAACCAATTATAGTTGTTTGGATCATGCACAAAAATATAACGCAAGTTAAGTTTAGGAAAAAGTATAATACAGAAGTTTGGTTTAGTGCACGGAGAATGTCTTTAAATTTTCAAGCTATGATCAATCATTGTTGTTCAAATGCAATTAAGATAATACATTAGCTTAAACATAAACTGTCATTTTTTTTTCTTTAAAAACAATAACTTCTTTGACTTCTTTTTTAATTTTTTTTAAAAAAATAAAGGACTGAAAAATCCTCCATTTGAAATTAATAAACAATTTATTTCCAATAACCTTAAGGTCTCTGCAAACAATTTTTAAAAATGTATTTAGCAAAATTTAAAAACAATTTTCAAACCAATGATTCCTCCAAAAATTCTAGAAAAAAAATAAATATATAATAGTAAAAAATAATGATTGCTTTAAATTTTTTTAAGTATTTAGTAGGTTTGTAATATAATATTTCACTAAAGCTGAACAATATTAAAATATTTTGAAATAAAATTACACTTTTTCGTCTAAACTTCAATACTAACGTTCGCTCAAATAGGAAACATAAAAAAAATTTTCTAATTGTAATATTAAATTCATACGTCATAATATATCAGCTGGTTGTAAATAATAGTATATATTAATCAATGATATTTTATCATATAATGTTAGTTTATTGTTAAATACACTTAAAGTATGTGCGATAAAATATGATGTATTGCAATAAAATAAAATGAAAAGTAAAACCATTAGATACTTATAATTTTTAAGTTTAGACAAATAAGATTATTATTATTATTTCGGTCTAATAAGAAGTGCACGTTCTGTAAATTGTAAAAGTAATAATAAAATACTACTCAAACACAACAACTTAGTGCACGCGAAACTATAGTTATAAACAGAATATATAGTAACCCTTATACTTAATTATGATAACTTGTAGATTTTTAAAGTGATATAACCTTTTCAGAAGATATTCAGAAAATAATAATTTTAAAATAAGCTTAGGAAATAGATACATCTAAAAACATCATATAATTTTGAAAACCTTGAGTTTAAATATTTTAATTTTTAATATATTTGTTTATACATTGTACAAAGGTAAATAATATGTTAATGTTCGTTGATTATTAAAATTTTTTATTATATATTTTTCCGTAACGTAAAGAAGATTTTTTTATTTCCTTGAAAACTTTTTTTATATATCTTTAAGTACGAAATTATACAATTTAAAAATAAATGTTATACTATAAAATCGAAACTCTATACTTTTTTTTTAGGTTTTATTAATATACATTACTTATGTAAAAAGTTTTGCCATTTTTAAAAATATTTTTTTTTACATAATTTGAAATCATTACTAAATAAAATAATATATTTTTACTATTTGTATTGTTATTACATTTAAGTTTTATTTTTTGAATGACACCATACTTTTTTTTGTGTTATTCTAAAGCCGAATATTTTAATGAAAATTTTAATACAAAATAAAATAATTTAATCTATTTTTATTAAACTTTAAAAAAAAAAATGAAATAAAACTTCTCATTTAATTTTAATAGATGATTTGTACACTTTCTACGATAATTTTTTTAAATTTACATAAGCATAGTATTAATGTGCTTCTATAATTTAAGTTTTATTAAATACGAGTATACAAAATAAGTATATTGATACAACAAAAATGTATTTGTACTTTATCTAATAACTATTTAATATGATATTTACAAGTATTATATACAGAATATTAGATTTTATATGGTTGTTTGAACTACAAACAAATAAATAAATATATTTTTCTTATAAATCAAATATTAACTGTATAATAATATATATTTAAATAAAAATATATTAATAATTTAATTATAACTTTATGTTTTTTGCAGGGTACGAGTGGAATATTACGTTAACGAAAATACATTCAAAGAACGTTTACAAATATATTTTATTAAAAATCAACGCTCAAGTAAGTATTAAAGAAAAAAAAATATTTGATAACGAATATAAAATATGAATATAAAATACTTTTTTATAACTATTTCAGAAATTCTAAAACAAAAGTTATTATAAAAAATTGTAGACAGTTTTAAAAGAAAGTATTTAAAGAATAATTTTTTGATAACAATAGTCAATAACTTTATTTTTTTTCCTTTCTGCAAAAGAACTTATTTTCGACTCAATAGTTCTTTTCTTTTAAAGAAGCAATAGTTAATTTTTAATATCATTTTTTTTCTTTTTTTTTTTTTAAATCAGTGGTGTAGCATTTTTAAAATTATAATAAAATATAATACCGATTTAGGTTACCACATTTTATATTTATATCATTTACTAAAAAAATCTCTCATTAATAAAATGTTAAGCAAAGAACATTATAAATGTATTAGGTATATGTACATTAAAATAAAGGGGATTGCATATTTTTCTGCAATTTTAATTTTATTAACATTAATTATTATTGTTTAAATTATACATTCACATATGATATTATAATATATTCTACAACTTGGTCTTTTTAACAGTCAACAATACTCATTATTTCAAAAAAATATTAATTTTGGTCATTTTTTTAAATATATATATATAATATATGGTTAATTTAAAAATTGCATGTTACAACCAATATTATTTATTTTCACACCCATATGTTTGTTGATGGGTCATATTATAACCAACTTTTGATTTTTTTTTAGTTTTATAATCTGAAGTAGAATACTTATTTAAACATTTTGATACATAAAAACTAAAATAAGTTTTTTTATTTACAAGTATTGTAGCCAGTATATGAGTCGATAAAAGAAGAGTAAAGTGGCAAGAGATACTCTCCAAACGTATAGTACGCTTATTCATGCATCTGAACTATAAAAACTTATTAATAAAAAACAAAATTATTTGGTTTAATATTTGATATTTATACTCGTGCAAAAACATTTTTAGTTTCAAAAATAAAAATACGGGTTTCATTTTAAAAACAAAAAATTATTCATAATGATTTTAACAGCAAAAATATAGTCCATGTAAAATATTAAAATTACACGTATTATGAAATAAAATATTAAAAAATATTATTACGATTCAAAATATTCAGTGTGAACTATTAAAATAATAAACATGTAGATACGTATATCGTAATATGATAGACCATAGTTATTATTATTTTCAAAAAATAACATAAAATAATTATTTTTATAGACATCTTTAAAGTTCAAATTTTAATTGAAGACTGATTTTATGTATATTACAGCCCCATATACATATATTTTAAAAAGGTTTTGATATGCTTTTCATTTTATGTCCATTTAATGTTATTCTAGTTTTAATCAAAATATCGTTAAAAATTAGTATTTATGTCTTAAGGCAATTTACAATCTATAAGCAAAATTTTCTTCTCTAAATAAAATATTATGATTTATTAATTATTAATTGCGCTCCACACTTAGTAATTTTTGTTTATTTTATAAATTTAATATTTTAAATTGCAATATTTATGTCTCGAATTATATCTCGTAATTGTTAAACATTTGTTAATTTTAATAAGTTTCTGAATTAATTTCTATTTAATCCCCTTCCCCCCCATATCATTGATAATTATAGAAATTAATATTCAACTTCAACTTTGTTTTTTGTTATAGGTCTTCGTATTCGTATCGCAAATTTATTTTTCAAACTACTAACATGTGTTTTATACATCGTCCGCGTCGTACTCGATCAAGATCCCACGTCCGCGACTTGGTAAGCGAGAAACTTTTATAACACCTATCATATAAAAATAAATTAAATCGATTAATATTAATTTTATAATGTTTATTCAATTAAAACATAAAAGTTATATTTATTTTGTAACATCTTCGTCAATATGTTCGTATACTGCTCGTAATAAAAAAAAAACGTGCTTCGTGTATTTTATTTTCTTAATTTCGTTCGTTCAAATTATCCGCAGTTATGGATGCAAAATGGGAAATAAAACCGAATTCCTATGGAGCCGAAATTTGACGGACGAGGCGTTCCAAGCGAGGCCCATAATCAATTGGGATGCAATCCAATGGGTAAAACGACCGTTAGAGCTGTGGGTGATACAGTGCGGACTGGCGATTTTCGCACTCTGCGAATCACTACTTCTCACGTACATCGGTTACAAGGTAATTGATTGTATAAATTAATATCGAATATCCATTAATAGTAATTACGAATTTATGATGGTAAATACGTTTGTGTGCTGTAAAAGTTTAATAACGCTATCTTTAATCATTAATTACATTCATATATTTTTATGGTTTAAATAAATAGAAAATGTTTGCACTACTTAACGCGCCTACACGGTTGTAGGTTCTATGATAATATGATGTACTTTATGCTACAGGAACAATTGTTAGGGCACTTGGAGTTAGATTATTATAATATAGATAAAATATTAAAATGTCTATTAACTATTTAGCTTAACATAATATATACAGTTATCTTATAATTTTAAAGAAACTATTTAAAAAAGTTAGGTTACAGAAAAATATACAGTGAAAAAGGTAGTTGCATATCATAAGTAATACGTAAATTTCCTACTAATCAAAAATTTTAATTGCACCTATGCCTTAAGCACAAAATTCCAATTTTGGTATTATTGTAAAGATCAATTACGTAATATAATAATGCAAATGTAATACGTTTTGTATATTTAACTTAATCATACAAAGTGTATTTACTATATTCTACTATTCTATTTATTATTCACTGATATCAATGTAGGAGCATAAAAGTGTTTTCTTTTTTTTATGAATATATATAAACAAATTTAAAGATCTATTTTAGCTTATTGAAATGGACTTCATTTAAAGAATTTTTACTCTTAATTAAACTTTTTTTCATGCCGATAAAATTATTTATTTTTTAATATAATACATATAAATTTATTTACTTACTGACGTTAAGTATTATATAACATATTCTAATGACCCGTGTTTGATCGATATTTAATATCTTATGACTCTTATGTAGTATTTTTTTATATTAAATAAACATTTTATCATCTTAAAAAATTTATTTTCAAAAATATAATTTAAAATTCTATTAGACTTCTAAAAATATTTTATATTGCTTGTATTTTCAAATACTACATACATCACGCTAAAGATAATTTTCGAGATTATGTATAGAATTTATATAAATTTTTATTTTATTATAAAGTAAATATTCATATTTGTGTATTTTTCAATTTTCAATGTTTTGTTATATTTAACAAATACTGGGTAGAACTAAAAATATAATTTTATACTTCTTTTAAATGTTTAATTTATATGTTGCAATTTAACACATGTAACATTATTGGCATGTATTGTTATCATTAGATTTATCAAAATTATAGATCGAAATAATAATTAAGAATACAATTTAAATTTTTGAAGAAGATAGCTTGTGTATTATTATATTATTCATGAGTAAAAATAGGTAATAAATAATTGTATTTTTATTCTAAATATGTTTATAAAATGTATTTTTATAATAAACATTATTCTATAAATCATATAAACATACATTATTATAAATTTAAAGTAAAAATTCAACCACAATTGACAAATTAAGTCCCAGTAAATGTTGTTTACGATTAATGAAAACAAATATAATTTATCAATTGACATGTTTGAAAAATAAATAAAAATATTGTTTCTTTTATTAAAGAAAATTAGTTTGTTTAATTGATGAGTTCATTGATAACGTTTCTTTTAGTCTTATTATTTTTATTTGCAATTTTTTTTAAACTAAAACCGGTGAATTGAACATTACTATATTAATATGAAAAATATTATTAAAAAATTAAAAACAATCAGTTGTCATTTATTTTTTATTTTGTTTAAGTCTTCAATAAATATTTTGTCATTTATTTCAGACGTTTTAGCGAAATTTATTATTTTTAGAAACAATAATAAACCCCAATACCAATAAATAAATGTAAAATAGTTCTTTTTTTTAACCAAGTCTTGAATATATTTTGTTGATTTATCGTAATGAATTCTGAATCAATGATTAAATGTCTTGATTTACTATTTTTTTTTTTATATATATATATAAAATTTAATTACAAATAATTATCCTGCATCGAATTGAGAAAAGAAGATAAGTTACCAAAAATATATGAAAAATATAAATTTTTATTTCCTACCTACTTTTTTTTTCTTTTAATTATTTAAAAGTGAAAAAAATATTATCGAAAGTAATACACCAGTATTTGGGGTTAGGCAAAAAATTATGTAAGGTATTAATAATATTTTTATATGATTTATTAAATACAATTTTTGATTCTTTTGAATAAAATTACTTTCAATAATTAATTTGAATATATTTTATCACAAATAAACTACCTTTTTTTCGTGTTCCATATTACAATTACAATTATGTTTCTGCATACTTTTCTTCAAAGTTCTATTTAAAATAAATCAATGTTATGATGACCACATTGATTTTTCTTTTATGAAATAATTCTTTTTAAACATAAAACGTATATTTGTCTTTGTACAATATTATTGCCACTTGATTTATAAAAGTATATATTATATAATATTTATTTTTTTATTACTATAGTTATTATATTGCAACAATAGCGCAAATGGCAATTCAAAATATAAATGCGTAGAAAATATATACGTATGACATAAGTTATGAATACTTAGTTAAAGGTTATATCACATAACCTTTATTTATTGACTAAATAACTAACCGTGGAAGAATAAAAAATACAATTATTATTAGTTAATCACATAAGAACTAACAACTGACTGTGGGTAGTTTATCTAACCTTCTTTTATAGTCTTAAAATTGATCTAAAATATCTCAATAGCTAATTATTCTAAAAAATACTATTAGACAAACCAAATAGACAGGCATGCAAAAAAGTCACTAACCTCAACGCCGTGATAATATGCATTTAGTTGTATACATAATAATATTAATAGTATTATAAAAGCCTTTTAACTAACAGCTTTTACCGGTTTACTATTATAAATAAATAATTATACGAGCAAATTTTAATTCTGCTTATAGACTAAATATACATTTTTTTTTTTTTTTTTTTTATTGCAATTGGTTATAAAATCTATTCAAATGAATTATTTTAAAACACAACAAAATACCAACTCAACCCAAGTATTTATACTGATTTTAAATATTTTTAAAGAAAAAAAGTGTTTTTTTATATATTTTAAACGTTTTCTTGAATAATATAATTTTTTATATGAATTAATAAACTTGACTCTAGTATAAAAAGTGACATACATATTATAAACATAACATTTGGATGTATATTATTATAATATCATGATATTATCCAGGTTTATCCATTAACCATGAGACTTTGGGGTTAGTTAGAGTCCCGGTACACTAATGACAACCTGATATTGGATACATTTCTGTAACACTGGCTGTTGAAACAAAAATTTCAATGCAACCCATTATAAAAAAAAAACATCATAGGTATTTATACTTTTATCACTAAAGTTAGAAGCTACTAACATGGGATAAAAATTATTTATCAAATCGTGATTGTTTAATTTCACTTCATATCGCAGTATAAAAGAATTATTATATTATTGTAAAACAGTATCAACGTAAAATAATAAAATTATAAACACAACCGAGAAACTCACCCGATCGATAGGTGGAATCAGATGTTTTTATACAAGCAAGAATGTACAATGCACAATCTGCATGCGTTAAACATTATAAATCATTGTTTAGAAGTGAAGATAACAACTTCTGGGTTGTTGAAACACCCATTTACTAAAATAAAAGTAGACATTTTAATGATTTAGGTTTGCATATCATATATGTATACAACATTAACTATGAATATTTAAGTTAAACAAATGAAGTAAATAATTCTTTAGTATTCTCTTAATCAATATTTAAAGAACACATTTATATGTTATATATATCTATAGTCGTATATTTTTCGCTATTTATAGTTATTAATTATACGATAAAAAATTATGATTATGTTATTGCATATTATTTATTTAAAAAAATATATTCATAAAACAGCGGAAATATATATATTACTTAGTATTATAATAATATTAGTATTTGTAAGTTATCAATCAATGCTATCCAATGTATTGAATTCATATTTTATACATATGTCAATAAAGCTAGTGAATATACGATTAAATAGTAGATAATATTATGCGTAATCTAGTTAAAATATATTTCTACGAAAAAATATTTTTAATATTTCAAACTATTTTTATGTCATCAATTCGCAAAATTCTAAATTATATATACAATAAGACTTGAAAAAAAATAGTGACTTCTTTTTGAAAACCTTGATAATATAAATGTATGAAATCAATAATTTAAATTATCACGAATGCGCTTGTACCTATAAAACAATATTTATGCTACGTTTACTAAGACATACCAAAATAATTCACGTTAAAACAAACGAACACATTGTTATACAAGCCTAAAATAGTGAAAATAATATTATATGGTGTCAAAACTTGATAGGTAGTTCTTATCCTCAATTGTTCGACCGAGTTTTTATGTGCCTAGAATTGGATAAATCTGGAGTAACTTTCATACCATTCATCGAAATGACCATTTGAAATGTGATCTACTAGTAAGAATGTTTACTCGTTGCAAAATCTAGAATTACACCCACAGGAATACACGACTATTCACTACTGTGGGCATTTGCGTTTCTATAGTAAAAATAATATGCTATTATTTTGAAATGATGTCCATACAATGCCCAAGGATATTAAATCGTGCCGAAATTTATAAAAGGAATTCATAAAACTATTTTGAGGCTGCAAAAGTATGAAACTATATTTGATTATTAAATACTAGCTATTAGAGGTACGTGCTAATAAATATCAATAAATAAAATTGTTTTAACGGCAAACGAGGTCATACAAAAAAAAAAAAAATAAATAAATAAATAAAATTGGTAACTTAAAAATATAAATCAAAATTTAATGATATTTTACTGAGGTGTAAAAATGCTCTTAATCTCAATGTTTAATAATATCAAATTTACAATCTCTAAAGATTATTTGTTGGTTGGATAGGGATATATTTATATATTTTATATATTAAAGAGGGTATACTATTTAACTGTAATTAAAATGTGGTAAATAAACATTCTCATATTAAC